GGAGATCGGATTTGCGGTAAAGCTGACCAACCAAGGTGGAGAGCCGAGAGACTCCACCCAAGAAAGCATAAGGTCGCCACTACAGTTCTTAATTTTAGCATCTTCATTGATTCCAAAATTTATAAAATATAATAGTTTGAGCATCAAATAATCTAGTATTTGAATCTAAATTTCTCTAAGATAAGCTTATGCAAAATGGGGTGAATAGTTATAGATACCTAACACGTGTTAAGCTTTCTTTTGGTACGTATTACCAATAAGATTAAAATTGAATTTTGGGAAACAAAAGTTAGAGAAAGTCAATAAATTAATGAATAATACATTTGTCACATACTCGACAAGTGTAATCATCAAATGTCAAAAGCCAGCTTTTGAAAAAGCAATCATTTTTGGAATAGAAAAATTAATTCTGTTGTTCTTTTCTTTCAAATTGATGAATAAGTTAGGGCAAGTGGAGTTTACTGTTGTAATTTGACGTAGAAAAATAATATCTAACAATTTCCTGATGAAAAAATATAGCAAATAGTATTTGATTTTTTAAAAATAGGGTCAATTTGCTAGTCAAACAATATTCTTGCTTAGTAGATCATGTGATTATCAAGTTTCTACCCATGGAAAATCATTACATGCATACATGTAAATATATAGTTAGTTATATGTTCATGAAATTAGATCGAATATATAAATATATAGTTAGTTATATGATCATGAAATTAGATCGAATATATAAATATATAGTTAGTTATATGATCATGAAATTAGATCGAATGGTCATGTGGATGGTTGGTCCAATAAAATGGGGCTTTTTCTTCAAAAATCATAAAGCATATGGTTCATGGAGACAAAGAACTTAATACCCACCAAATTATTAAATTAAATCTAATAGTGTATAGTATATGCCATCGTGCGCAACAAACTATTTCTATGTGACAATTTTATTCCCCATTCCTATTAGTGCTTTCTTACTCTACCAATGGCGTCACCAAAATATACATAATTATAACCATGTGCGTGCATATATACGCACACATGTCCATACATGTGTGTGTCCTGATCAATACTAACATC